CATCAATCCGCAGACAGTACTGGTTTTTAGCATGGCTGCAGTTCAAATTTTACCACTGACGTGCAGGTCCTCTTTAGTAATGCCAGCAGCTCTGGCCTCTTTTGAAAGAACACGCCTCCAGGGCCTTCACAAACGATCGCCTAACGGCCATGAACCGTCAGTCAGCAGGTTCCCTACCTTAGGCGGCAGGGCTTGGAACAGTTTTATCGGTCTCCGTTAGCCTAACGGTACGTTTTAAGTTTGTTTCCCTTCCACGAGTCACGCCCTATCGGCAGCGGTCAGTAAGCGAATCGAGCCCCGAGATCTGACCTGATTTCAGAAGAGAACAGTGCTTTTTGATCTGGCTTTACAGGGTGCTTCTATTCCTCACGCCGACCAGGTGATCGCATGATGACGGCAACCAGTAGTCAAGGAATTTTGGAAGGGGGGTGGATATCCAACTGCCGCATGTCTTGTTAGGACTGCGTGATACAATCAGGATTATCCGTACGCAGACCACAGTTTCGCATTGCAACCCTTTGAGCTGTGCTTTATTGTTGAATAACTGCTGCAGCATGGTTTATAAGAACGTGATGGGGAGGGGGAGTTCGTAAGGGCTTAGAGCATGTAAAATAGCCATAAAACATGGTTTCTACTTCGCGGATTTTCACTTTTCGCGGCTGGTTCTGAAACGCAACACCCGGGATCGCTGCATACGATAAGGAGTATACTGCGACTGTCTCTGATGATGGATTCGAGTGAGAATCCGAAACGTCAGGCCGATAAATTTCTTGTTCCAATGATCGCATCTTCGTCTTCTGAAGGCGTATATTGTTTGTAGCTCACATATAGCAGAGTGTAACGTCCCCGTCTAACGCAAGTATATAGTCAAAGAGGCCCAACATGATAAGACGGAGACAAGTCGTTATTTTACTGAAGAACCTATGTACAAACAGAAACTAAGGGAGGAATCCTAATTACAAAAATAAACTGAATCTGGGGCGATTGTCCACAGGGGCGGCTGAGAGCACTGGAATCCAGCGGAGAAGACGGTAACGGTTCCTGGTCTGAAGAGCGGCGACCGGCCATGGGGTTCCTGGATGTTAATCCTCGCCCGCATTTACAGCTTCTCCAGGGGCCAGGGGCGTCAAGGTTGAGTCCGCCATTGTGGATTGGTTGGGAGTAGATCAAGGGAGGAAGTCACACAAACTTAAGCCAGGGCTATTTTGATTAATTTAGGGTTATATTAATTTATTATATGCATACTTTTTATGAGAAGCCATATCGTGACTAAGTACATGGCATATAAATATAGAAAATTTCGGCACGCGCGCCCCTTTAGGTGCGCGCTTTCTAGAACCTTCTACAAGCTGGCGGCACGTAGGCTGGCTTTCTAGAACTTCCTGCAGAGGAACCACATGGTGAAGGAGCCGAAGAACACATTTTTTACTTACACCAGGGATGTCTTCGTTGTGTGGTGCAGGTGTTCGTGTGAGGTGCATGTGTTGGAGAATTTTATGGTGCTAATTTACCTCAGATTTTCGCGGAGGCGCACATGACCAAGTAGGCCCATGCGACGGTTGAGTGTGCGAGAGCAGTGCGCGTAGTGGAGACGGTGTTGGCTGGTTTATTTTTATGTCCCAGGTATTAGCTCGCAGGTCTCAATGCGATGGATTCACAAGTGACCGGCCAGGCCGATGCTTGAGGTGGATGTGCGATCGTTATGAAGACAGGTTTGGATTGAATCCACATCGTTGTTGGTGGCGGTGCGGATTGTTAGACTTATGATTGGCGAGGCGTCGGCAGTGGGAAAGCTAGTAGCCGCCACAGTTTTCGCAGCGGTTGCTGCAGGGATGATAGTGGCGGTGATCGACGACATCAGGGCATCGGAGGTGGTGGTTGGTGCAGGGGTGACGATAGGAGATGGCCGTGGGGGCAGCAGTCGGGTTTGTTAAATTTTTTTGCACTGGGTCCAGAGATGTCACACTGACAGGGCAAGTTTTTAGGCAGCATGGGTATCTCGGTGGGAGTTGGGTGTTTACGTTGTGGGTCGGGGGAGCTTGAGACCTGCGAGTCACGCTGTCGGTTTTGGCAGCGGCTACGTAGACTGCTGTCCCGGTTTTCACTGCTTTTCCCTAGGCCACTCGATCTTGTGCGCAGTCTTCACAAGTTTTCAGATTGATTTATAACCGCCTTAACAAGTTCTTCAGTGTCCTTGTGGCTACGTGTTTGACCTTGTCGGGGAGCAACCGGAGAGACATTTCCGTGGAAGAGGCGGTTGCTCCATCGTAGTTGCAGTTGCTTCAGCATGGCGTAGGTGCTGGGGATTCTCGTCCGTTGCAAAACCCCTGTCTTCGGTGTCCTGTCTCAGCACCCCGGCTTAAGGATTCTCCGAAACAGCTGGTAGTAGCACTGACAAAGGACCCTGAGGCAACTGCATTTCTAACAGTCAGAAATTCCAACTACTTATAAACGGCAAGTAGAGTTTATTTAGTATGTTGTTTTACAAACTTTGGTTGCGTTCACCAAATGCGTAATAAAATCTTCAGCCCGAGACAAGTACATGTTGCCCATAGATACCGATCACTCACTTTATTTATGAAACTGTTGGCGGATTTGCATAATAGATTTGACCCAGTGACAAGAGTTTCGGCGGCCTCGGCGGGAATCGAACCCACGACAGAAAGACGAGACTTGAATACAGTCAACGCTTGAAACACCTGAGGTACGAGGCCGTACCTAGAGCCGTGAAGCTAATCGCATCTGATACAATTTATCCACCCGCAACGCATGGAATCCACCAATCATAGTACATCAAGTTGGCTGGTTAGGCAGGATTTCTTAAGCAATCAGTCTAGGATCCCTCGGATGACTACCAAGCTGATGTATATGACAGGTTTTGGCAGATTCTTACATGCAAGCAGAGGAGAATGACCATTCATGCCAAGGGCATCTTGGTTACTGGATTCCATCCTCATGTCCTCCTGTCCAAACTGCAAATTTTACCTTCGGTCATATGGATAGAGCTCGACAGATATGTTTAGAGGGTGCTCTAGAAGAGTTTGTTCTCATATCAAAAAGACCCTCAGCTGCCTAAATTGAAAGTTAGTACCATTCAGCGTTTCCAGCTTGCTCGAATAGAAAGCTGACGCGAGAGGTCCCAGCGATTCACAGCGTGAACACTCCCAGATCACAAGCCAGGAAAGATATATTTTGCTGGACAAGACTTGCTGCTGTGCATGACCATGCAGGAGGCTCAGCAAGTAACTGCCGAAAGTTGTATCTTCAGGCGTGTTGTCTGCCTCAGCGTCTGTCGTTGATGTTCTTGCCCCCCCCCTCCCCCCACGGGGTTTGTGCGTCTTTGCCCCCTCCGGCTTTTTGACGCCTGTAGACAGCCGGCGAAGGAGCAATGTTGATTTGCTCCGGGCTCTTCCAAGGCTGGTGGCAAATCGTGCGGATTTCCGGCAACTAATCGTCAGGTAGCGTTATGTGGGCAAAGTGGTCGCGTGCGGAAGTGGCGGCGATCGGGGCAGCAGACTGCCACACCTCCGTTAAGTTTTGACAAAAGAGAATTGCGTCTTGGGTGGCCTGCTCTAGGCTTGTTCATATGAGTGCCGAAGGTGTCTGTGTCCACGGGATACCGACCGCACAATCTACCATAACTTGTTTTCTGTCCGTGTTTTAACCTTGGCAAGTTTACAGTCGGTTAAGAAGAAGGTCTTTGTTTAAGTTCACCGAATTTCCGTGATTTTTTCATGAGCAGACTTTATTTATTCTTCTATTTCTGTAAATAATCCCTTCCAATCAAAGCATATTTTGGAATATAGGCTAACATTTTACGAGATTTACACGCTAATGTAACAGTAGTGGTAGTATAATTGTTAGTAGTAGTGACTGTAGTAGTAGTAGTAGTAGTAGTAGTAGTGACTGTAGTTGTAGTAGTAGTAGTAGTGGTAGTAGTAGTGGTAGTAGTAGTAGTAGTAGTAGTAGTAGTAGTGGTAGTAGTAGTAGTAGTAGTAGTGACTGTAGTTGTAGTAGTA